GTCTTCCTTGCATTCCGCAAGACGTTCCGCGGGACGTTCGTTCCGCGTGGGAGGAGGAGACGGTGACATCGATCGATATTGCGAGAAGAAGCTCGGGAAGATTAATCGTTCGGAAGGCGGCGAGAGATGAAGGCGCCGGAGAGAGAAACGACGGCGGCATCCCATTCTACGCGCCGTTACGCTGCCGATGCATCGGCACGGGGACCAACTCTCCTGCGAAATTACACGGCGGCGCTGACGGTAGAAGCGGATCGTTCGCCTACGGAGAGAGGCTCTTCCGGCTAATTGAATCATCCCACCTAATTTCCCGCATCACCGAGAGGGACGCGCGCGCGAGAGAGCGCCCGTAACAACGTAGGTAGACCGGGACCGTTTTCCCGAGGAACGATCCCCGGAATGAAGGCCGGCGGGCGAACGGGCTCGGTGCTCGTCACGCCCACGAGTTTTCTCCAAAGACCCTTTTGAGAGGCTATTCTGAACCATCGATCGCGGATACCCACGGACATTCAGGGGACATTAATTGAAAAATGGTAACGGAAAAACGACGCGTCTGTGCCACGCTGAGGTGTCCGACTCCGACATGCCGCACTCGATCGTCGTGCGAGCTATTATTTCTGACAATATACATGTATATGTACATCGAACGCGCGCTCGCTATGTGTGCGCGACGAAACCTTCAGATCTCTATCTCGCCGTTTCCACGAGTTAATAATTAGCTACTCGGCCACGGCCACGTTCTGCAGATAATAATCGAATCACCGTGCAATTTCCATTCTACTTAACATAGACCTTCTGTTTCTTGTCACTTGATATGAGTAAAACTTCTTCCCTATTGCCCGCGACGGATCAGGGACGCGTTTTTCTCTAACGCGAATGGCTGAAAAAACGCGATAACGTGCTCTACGGCGCCTCTCTCGTTACATCAATTACCGCGACGAGACTACGTGATCGAGCGTTCGCGGAATCGATTAACTCGCATCCTCGTGTGCGGAAGATAGAGAATGGAAGAGAGAGAGAGAGAGAGAGACAGAGAGACACAAGGACTCACATCGGCGATTCGGCGTCGCAAACATCGCGTTGTTTACTTGGTGATTCACGGCTACTTTAGGGAACGATTTCCCAGATTCATGCGATCGGAATCGACAGGTGCCGACGCACGGTGATGGATGTCCGCGAATGGAGCGCCGGTTGCGAAAGCCGATTTCACGTTATCCAGCCGTATCGAAGCGCGATTACGACACGGACGATTGTGTCCTTCGCGTTCATCTGCAGCACACCGTCGAATGTGCGAGCGACGTGTCGTGTCCTTCGAGCCGCTGTTTCAGCTTTCTCGCCCTCAAGGCGAGATTACCGAAGTCGTTTCTCCGCCGCGAATCCCCCCCCGAGGGAGGACACGCTATTAGAAGGGGAAACACCGGGAGCACTCTTTCCTTCGTCCTCGAGTTACGGACGCAGCTCGAGGAATTCCACGGCAGTGATCAAACGGCGATTCGAACGGATGATGTCAGCTTAGGATTCTTTTTTCGAGGAAAAAAAGAACGGTGCAACGATAAGCCCGGAGATATAACGTTTTTCGAGGAAAACAATCTACAGACCGGCCCGTCGTCTAATTTTATTCTTCAGCTAATTAATTAGCAACACGTATACCAAATGAGATGACGGTTAGGCGCGCATCTCTTGAGTAAGGTGCAATTATTTTGCAGGAACAATATGCAAGGAGTAACTGTGGTAACGCGCGAAGCCGCGTCGCCATGCGGATGAGACACTTTCCTTTGCGCGAAAATTCACAGTGCGTTCCCTCGAGCGCATTCCCGCCGGGGAAATGCTCTTCTTCGCGAGCGTGACAATGGGCGCTTGCGAAATTTTCGCACGTCACATACGCCGGTAGCACGATGCACGCGGGTGCATACCCGAGACGTGACAACAACAACGTGGCGCATATAGTCGTCACCGACGGCACAGGTGCATGGTATTGCGGACCGCCAATTTACTTTCCATCCACCGCCTCCGCAATTGTTCGGCTATCGTAACAATCCGCGATCGCGATGGTTCGGCGATGTTGCTCCTCCTCCCCTTCTTCCCCCCCCCCCCCTCCACATCTCCATATTTGTATTACGTCTTTATACAACGCGCGCGTAACATAATTGCTCCGATAACGACAAATACGAGGCGGCCGGGAGCTAACCGCCGCTGGTCGCGCCGATGCATCGCCGACTCCCACCGGCTGACCCAGTTTACATATTTGTGATCCCGTTTTAATTGCGGAGTCTCGCGCTCCCGCGAGAGTGCGGGAAAGACAACGTACCTATACATACGCGTGTGGTCCCGACGCGGTATCGCGCGTCGATCAACGACGTTTCGGCGCACTCGAGCGATCGAGCGCGTTCTAATTGCGAAGAATCACACGGTGTTCGGTTCGCTCGCGCGTCGAAGAGAATCCTCCTCAAAGAGGACTTCGCGTGACCGAGAAAGGAGGGTTTTCCCACCTTATCTCCTTTTTTTCTTCTCGATCACCCGATGACGTCACGCGATGCATCTCATTGTTTATTACTAGGCGGCTATATAGGCGACTATTCTGCACTCCGGCCGGCCTTCACCCGGTTAACTTCGTTCGCCCGTCGGAAACTCAATCGACGCGCGGAGAGACCCCGTCGTCGTCTCTGACGAGGCACGTTTCACCGGTCGTTTTAGCTTGCGCGCCGTGTCGACGTGAAAAATCGACGTGGAAAGAAAATTATCGTTCTCTCGTGAGCGACGAATTAACTCCGGAATTTGCCATTATAATGACGGCGCGGAGACACGCGGCGAGATGTAGGACACACCGCGAGAGTGTGGTCCGCGTGTCACGAGCGCCCGCCTGAAAAGTACAATTGCCGGGATAATTGCTGGAATTACCCATGCAAGTATACGGAGCGGACCTCGTATTAGCCGCGCGCGAGACGTGAAATAATTTAATCCAGCTTCCGTAACGTCAGCGAGAACTCGTCGCTGCGCTCCGCGACGAAATGACGACGTCGAGGAGGAGCGAGAGAGTTATATTTCATTCGCGTTTTTTTCTTTTTTTTTTGCTTCCTAATTCGAAATACGCTGCATTCATCTTCGCGAGACGTTCGCTGCAGAATCTCGAGGCTCCTCCGCGCGACTTATCTCGGAGCGACTCGGAGCAGAAGCTACCGGTGGCGCGCATCCACGTTCCTGCGATAACCGCGTCGATAAGCGTCGAGCCTCGTTGAGCGTTGGCACGTTTAAAAACGCGCTCGAGAGCGCGCGAGAGAGAGAGAGAGAGAAACGCGTGTGCGCTCGTGGCATATTAGATTCTTATATATCCGTGCCAAGGATAATCACACTCGTCCCGGCCATGTGGTTCCCGGCCTCGTGCGCACGAGGAGGATCCTCTTATCTGCACACCGCTCCGAGTAAGGAGAGGCGGATGATTTACGAGTTCGTTGGACCTACCCGCCGCGCCTTTCGACCGCACGCCATCGTTGCGCGCGTTTCCTGCGCGCGGTCACCCTCGTCCCTAGACCACTTCGTGGATTCGCGCTCATCTTATTTTACTTTAAAAAGCCAAAAGGGACGCGCGCGTTCGCGCGCCAAAGTACCCCCCCCCCTCTCTCTTTCTCTCTCTCGTGGCTTCGCGAAATATATATAACACAGACGCTTATATATACGATAGCGCGATAGGATACTCTCTCTCCGCTTCCGTCCATCTTCCCGCATTGCGAATAACAGATGCGCGCTCTGGCGTGAGCGAATTAAACCGTTTATACATGGATTATGCATTTTAGACTTCTGTTCCAAGCACCGCTGTAATCCCGGCACTAATCCCATGTTGCCCGCTTTAGCTGAGCCGCTTTCCACGCATGCGTTTCCGTCTCGTGTAAATCAACTAAATTTGATCCGCATTAGATACCTCCCCGCAATAATATAACGTAACGCGCAAACACAGCTCGCCCCCGGACTGGCTGTCGATCGCATTTCGTTACATCATACCTAACCCCCTCCCCCCTCCCCCCCTCATATACACCCTAGACGAGCACATAACGTAAAAATCTATGTGCGAGAATAAGGATAATCCTTCTTAGCGCGATATAACTTGTCGATCACAATGATACATTACAATTTTGCGCGGGGGCGAAACAAGCTTTATAAACGGATAACCCGGAAATTCCCGAAATTAAACCCGCTCTCATTTGCGCGCGCCTGACAAGGTTCGCCAAATTCCCGGGGCTCTTCCGAAATCAAAGTAAATTCCTGCGGAAGCTAACCTGGATTTATACGGGGCCAATAGGCTTCGTTAAATATGTACGAGCGGGCGCTTGCCCGACGTCGGCCGAAATTCCCGCGTCGACCGATAAACAAGCTTCCACCCGGAGAAAAAGTGGATTTAAAGCGGCACCGAGAAATCCCGACGTTGTGTGTCGTGTGTCGTGTATCGGTAAATGAATAAAGGGGAAACGTGCCTCTTTTATCGAGTAACAAGTATACAGCACGCGCGCTGGTATTATGAAATGCCATTTTAAATTATGCGCCTGCGATCTACTGAACTCCGTTTCAAGAAGAAAAAAAAAACGACAAAAAAAACAGCAAATAGTATCCGCTTTTGCGATCCACGATATTGCGTATATTCGCGACCAAATAAGTAGCGAACGGTTCTTAAATGGAAGCGGAACGCAACATTCCTGTGAAAGCGCTGCAGTTTTTCCCCAGCAGCACCGACGACGGCGACGTGCCGTTCGATGTTGTCGATCTTCGCGATTCAATCAAACTTTAGTCGCGAGTCGACGACGTTTTTTTCTCAACAATATAGTCGCTTGACATTTTCCGCGAGAAATCGCGAGGACAGACTCTCGTGTCGGCGGCGACGACGACGACGACGACGACGACATGCGACAACGGTTGGCAAACGCGAAAATCAATTACACGACGCGAGGAGAAGGGCGAGACGTATGTCACACGTACGGCCGGGCTGATTCACGTCGTCGGAACGTTCAACGTACCTGTGGACGACGTTAGCCAGGAGATCGTTGTGCCGTAACCTGTAATCGACGTCCACCTTTTGATAGTTGACCGTCAGGGTGCCGGCGCGAATACATCTCTCGTATTCCTCGGCTGGATGGGCACGGAATTCCCTCGCGAAGACCTCCAGGATCTTCTCGCCGACCCATCGACCTTTCGTGAATGTCGTGAAGGTGAAGTAATAGGGATATACCTTACGGAGACCTGAAACACACACCAGCGCCAGGGACGACCATGAAGACCGATAAGAGACGGAGAAAACGATAATTACTTCGAATTCCCGTAAGCCCGCGTCTTTAAATGTCACGAGGTTTAACGGGGCTATATTAGCTACGTTACGAAACGATTCGCGCGATCGCCGCGGGGCACTCGTCCGCAATTAATCGGAGATTAGCATCCAAGTTGGCGGTGCCGAGAGCGAGCGTGCTCCCAAGGCGAACCGGGCGAATGTTGAATTACGCGAATATAATGCCTTGGAAGCGGAATCACGTAATAAATCACGCCGCGCCGCGGATACGTAAAAATGTCGCTGTTATTTGCGAATCTATTACCGTCGGGTCCCGCTCCAAGGCTGATTGCTTTCGCGGGCGAAATTCACGTCAAGATTAACATAAAATCGATTGCGTTTCTTTCTCTTTCGTATCTTTTTTTCTCCCCCCGGATAAAGAAGAAGAAAAGGGCATATTTAAATTTCTGGAACATCCTGTTACTCCGATAGCGATTGACTTGGAGATTCGTGATTCAAACGCTTCTTGCGCGGACCGCGTTATTTCCGGATTTCACTTTTTCCCTCCCTCTCTCTCTCTCTCTCTCTCTCTCTCTCTGTCTCTTGCTCTCTCGCATTAAGTGGAAATTAATCCGTCAGTTCGAATCTTCGTTACGCGTCACCTTCAAATGAGATTTTCGCCCAGAGAGAAAAGCCAGACGAGTCGGGAAGTTGATTAATAAGCCCGGATAAGAGGAATAATTTTCTCAGTTTCTTCGCGCGAGAGAGAGAGAGAAAGAAAGAAAGAGAGAGGAAGATTCCCGGCACAGGATTAATGAAAGATATACAGCACTTTATAAATTCATGCACGCGCCATATCACTCTCGCTTGATTGAACAATTTGATATTTTTATAAAAATTGTATTCTCTGATATGTTCTACATACGTTCTTCTGTCGCTCTCCATTCTCGTGTAATTATATTACGCGCGTCGATACCGAAACAGTTAAATCGAGTAGCTAGAACGTAAACATTCTATACCGGTCGTTACCGGCTTGAGGGAGACACTCCTGAGAATTTTACGACCTCGAAATGGCTCCCTTCACTGTCCATCAGCCGCCCTGAGGTTAGTGCGCCACGTTTCGAAACGTGGCACGTCGCACTTGGACAAGTCTTTCGCTTCGAGATTCGTGTCGAGTAATTTTCCTTGTTGTTTTCCGGCCAAAAGAGAAATAAATATCGAGGGAGGGGGAGGGAGGCTTGATTAATGTTCCGTCGCGTCCGGTCGTGTCAAAGGCCTTTTTTAAATGTTTTTCCACTAGAAAACCGTTGTTTAAAAGACAGCCTGCCTATAGGCGATTAACGAACGTTTGACATTTGAAATGAAAAGAGCGTGGAATTACTCTCCGCGCTTCATATCACGTTTGGCATAAATGTTTCGTTACAACAAAAAAAGAAGAGATATACCTATTTTTCAACTCAGTTTCCACACGTATTCCTTAACGACAAGGAAGCGAAGCTATACAGTGCTGCCGCAATTTTCAACTGTATACATCCGAGGCGGAAGAATTAATTTATTCCAACTAGTCGAGTCTCCTCTTGCGGGAGCAGAAATAACGGGAGTGCGGGCGTTACACACAAAGACTTTTCAAGTGGTCGACGAAGGAAAATTGGAGGCGGAGAACAAAAACGCATTCGTGTCAAAGAGACCGCACGCGGTTGTATTCCGCCGGATGAGCCGGCGAGGGTTTGACCTTTTGTGTGAGATCGAATCGGCGCGCCGAGAAGAGAAGAGATCCTGAATAAACAGAAACACAGTTTCCCGCGACGACGGGAGGGAAAACCCTCGTCGTATTCTCGCCCGACTGAGAAGTTACTTTAATTAAATTGCCTTCGGAACGCCGACGACCGGGCACTCGACGTGCGGCACTCTTCGCCGGAGGCAGAAAAGGAGGCGGGCAGGTCATTTGACAATCGAAATGTCTCGAAAGAGCTAGCCATGCTCTCAGGGCGTTCTCCGGCACGGACCGGAGTGAACGATTGATCCCTCTCGGGCTTTCGGGCTTTCGAAGGAATAGAACCATCGGGACGCGGTCGTTTAGCCGAGGGCTCTTCTCGAGAAGCGGAAGGAAATCGTCCTCGCGCATACGAGGGGGAGGGGAAAAAAAAGGAACAAGAGAGAAGGAGAGAAGAAAAGGGAAGCGGGCAAGAAAGGAAAAAAGAAGATTAGGCAGTCTGCTTATAGACCGTAAAGAAGAGAGCTTTCCCTCGACCGTCGTCGTCCCGAGAAATATATCATCTTCAGCGAGGAATTCGCGTCATGGAGACGTTCGAAGTACACGTTGATATAAATTGACGATAAAAGAAAAAATTTGCTACAACATTGTCGACATACACCGCATCGAGCATATTTTTTTTTTATATATAATCGTACAACAAAATATCCTCGATGTAATAAGAACGTAACAATTATTTAATTCTTCGAGAAGTATCGTCCGGTATACGTCGCAATTAACCGTAAAAAATCGCTTTTCCCTCGGTTCGTTTATTCTCAGACGATCGTCGATTCTATCGAATCGTCCCGCGCAACCGTGGCTTAAAGTAATTACGGCGCTATTACACACCAATGGGACACGACCGCCGTATTCATTGCAGCGAGCCAGTAATTGCCCCCGATGTCGAGGTTGTTCCCGAGGCTCCCCCGGACATCTTACCTCCGACAACTGCAATACTTTCTTTGCTCTCTTTATACCTCTACCCGACATCGCGCTCGAGTATCTCCTCGTCCTTTCCGTTTTGCTCTGTAACATTATCCGCGCTCTCGGTTTCTCCCGTCGATACTCCGCGCACGGAAAATCCGTCGGCACGCCCGCGGAATTTCGCCTCTCTGAAATCTCTTCCCTTGTCGATGGCGAGATATCCTCTCTCTCGGCCCTCGCATCCTGCCCGATGTACGTGGGGAGTTGATTTTCGAGAAACACTGAGCCGGAAAAATGAAAATGTCAAGCAATCTGAGAAGGGAGCGTACTTTTCTGAGAAGGGAGTGCTTCGGGAGTGCTCACTCCGTTGTAAAAGAGCTAAAATCATTGTGCTCGATAGGATCGTTGTACAACTAATTTCAATAATAATGTTATACTCCATATTTCAACTAATTTTATATAATTATGAGCTAAAATTTTTATAATTATTTTATCTTATGAGCTGAACTTTAATGAAGTTAATCATCGAGATATTTGGCGAATAAAAGACATAACGAATATAGATGGAGATTATACTTAATCTCAAGGAGTTAAAATAAATTTTTAAATATTACTCGGTCTAAAGCTTAACTCAAATTTCATCTTATCTTATTTCTAATATTATCAAAATATATAATTACTGATGTATAACATAAGATGTGTAGCATAATGTAATATAATTTAGATTTAATATCAGGTTACCGCGCTAAAAGTCCGTTAAATCAGTCTCAAGTTCCCTCCAAAATAGAGCGTCCTACTCTGCTTTTTATTCGAACTTTAAGTTAAGGGAGCTACTAATTTCGTACAAAACAGAGTGTGATTCCTGGTATCGATTATCGGCCGCATCAAGCCGTGCTTTCAGAAAGTCAGAGGGGAAACGAAGCCACGTCTCCTCGTCGTGAGTCAGCTCACGGGGGTTACGGAGGGCTCCGGGGGGTGACCCGAGCCCTAACGTCCCGCCCGTCTGGGAACGACGCCTTGTTTTACGAGTAGCAAACCAATGGCGGTGTCGTCGTAGGCCGCTTTGGGTTTCATTCGCTATCGATCGTGCTCCACACACAACCTGGCACTCCGCTCCGTGTATACGCACGGCCGCTTTTACAACGGGGAGTAAACACCCTCCCGTTGCAACTCCCGGCTCGTCCGGACTCGCATTTTTGCAGAGACCCTCTTCTCTCTCTCTCTCTCTCTCTCTCTCTCTCTCTCTCTCTCTCTCTCTCTCTCTCTCTCTCTCTCTCTCTCTCTCTCTCTCTCTCTCTCTCTCTCTCTCTCTCTCTCTCTCTCTCTCTCTCACCATTTTCTCCGTTCGAATGCTTTGCGCACAGCTGATCACGACAACAACCGCGCTCTCGTGATATGTTTGATCGAATTATACAATGTAAAGAAATTCTCGAAAGATTGCAAAAAAATAGCGAGAAAATGCGTTTCACTTTCCTTTCGGAAAACATTAACGCTTTTCTTGGTTATATAGCATAATAATAACGATATTTTCAGGAGCACGGAAAAAAAATTGCTGTTGCCACAACCTAATAATTGTGATAATTTTCGCCTATCAATTTAGAAGAGTTATAGGAACTAAAATACTTTGGAAGTGATTTATATGTATAGTTAACTGAACTCTCAGCCTCAATGTTGTGACGTGCAACTATATCATATATATCTCTCAATCATACTATTTGTTGTACAGACCATACTAGAGAGATAACAATTATGCTTCGGTTGAGGCAACCACATATATGAAGATATTCTAACCGAATATTATTTATCCTAAGCACTACGGTTGTGACAACCGTACTGATGAGCATACCTTAACAGATGAATGCCATGTAACATCAATATAACTTAAATTCACATGCATTTCTTTTCCAAACATAGAAAATATTGTTGTAACATCCACAGCAATTTTTTCCGTGAGCACTCTAATTTAAGCAATTTAATAATCAATTGAATATATTTCTCTATTTCCAATTGAATAAATTTATCTATTTATTTCTAGGTAGAGATTTCATTTATTTATTTATCTACTCGGATATAATTCACGATCGGGCGAAACACGATCGAAGAGGAGACCTCGGCAAGAGAAGGTTTCCCGCGGGAGAAATCCAGCGAAAATAATCGCACGTCCCTGCGAAATTCATGGGCGGTGTACCGGCGAAGTGGTACCTGGATATTACTAAATATTTGACACCGAGTTTTCTGGCGAAGATTGTAAATAATGTTTCACGACCGGAAAAGTTCTTAATGGCGTTACGCACCCGTATG